AATTTTTTATATTTTTATTCTTACATTTTTATTGTTATGCATCTTCTTCTTATGTGTGTATATTTGAAGCATCATTACTAAGAAAAAAAAATTATGTATGCACTTGGCAATAAGCTCTTTCTGAGATTGTCACTGAATTTATAACTTTGATTCAAATAAATGTTTACTGTGCAACTAAATTCATGCCGAATTTGAAAAGACTTTAATAGACTTGAGAAATTTAGAAACTTACCTTGATATGATCAACAAGTTCCTGAGTAAGTTTGATGGCGAGACATTTAATAGTTGCTTTATCTTTTTTCAAGAGGCATCTGTAAAATAAAGAAAAAAGGGCACTTTTTGGTATAGCTTGATAAGGTATTCTTTAACAAAATATCATAACAGTGCTTTAACCAAAATGAGTGACACAAAAACCTTAATAAAAGCCCTTTTTAAGGGTCCATTAGCAGAGGCAAACATTTGCAATGGGGTCAGTTCAAATTCAGTTGTCAACTGTCATTCAGTTTAATGACAAATATGTTTTAATGTATTTTTTTTTTATTAATTAATTATTAATTTTAGGGAGTCATTACACATGATTTTACAATCTGAACTAACCTTTCCTTGTCATAAAAATACCAAAATTATATGATTTTTGGTAAGATTATTCACTTGTGTTTTTTCCCCTTGCATGCTGGTTGTGGCATATGACATTTGACTTTGACAAAATTTGAAAATTATGTTTCCAAAATATTAATAATGAAGCTTAAATTTAGTTGAAATACGTTTTTCTATAAAATAATAATAAAACATGATACGAAAGTACCAATGGGAGGTGCAACTGGGAAATTAATTTATGAAATATTAGTTCAGAGCAGAAAAATTAGCAGCAAACTAGGGAACAAAAAAATTTCATTATATTATCTTCCGATGGTAACCTGAAATAATCATGGTTTTGGAAAAAATCTCTCTCCATTTGTGCTGCCTCCTCCAGAGGAATGTCATCATCGATCTGCTGTTGTCCTCTACACTTCACCATGATGTAACCTTTGCGGAGAGGAACCACTTCATTGTGGACGATTTTCAGAATGCTCTTCTCTGTTCCCTTGTCTATGAGGTCTGGCTTGGTCAAAATGGCTTTGAGAATGGAAAATAGTTATTTCATATAATGTGTATTCTCTGACAAAAATTAGATATTTGGTGAAATATTAGTTGTTAAGTGGATAATCTGCTTCATTACCAACAGTTCTTATGCCCTTAGGATCTACTTCTTGTGCCATTTTTAATGCTTCTGTTGTTGCAATGTCAGTGTTACAAGGGACCACAACCAGGTTTATAGTCTCTTGCTTCTCAATAAATTTAATGATCAAACTTTTGATCTACAAGAAATAGACATAGGTTTAAAACTGGATTGATATTAGCTTGATATTAAATATGAAGTCCAAAATCATATCATACTGCCTACCTGCTCTCCAATGTCCTCTGGCTGTCCTTTTAATGGGACTCTGGCAATTCCAGGAAGATCGATCAGTGTGAGGTCACACACATCTGGCGACATGACCTCTAAAGTGATGAGCTCATCAGATATTCCTACCCCTTTTCCTGCCAGCTCATTCTGGGCTGTAAGCATACACATAATTAACTATATTTATAAGAAAAATGTCCTTTAACAGTGTAAACAATGATATTGATCTTCAAGCATTAAAATTCTCTTTAGCTAGGGTGACCATATGTGCCATTTTCCCAGGACGCGTCCTGGCCAGGATTTCTATATTGCCTAAAATATCTAGGTTTTGGCTTTGTTTGCGTGTGCAGACTGATCGGTGTATGACATCAAAATACCTCGAGAGCATTTTGAAAGCATAAGGAACCGTCTGTATGGTATTTTGATGTCATACACCGATTGGTCTGCACACGCAAACACAGCCAAAACCTAGATATTTTAGGCAATATAGAAATCACAGACACTTCACAGACACTTTGTTTGGTCACCGTTTATGTAGATGTGTTTTTCTGCTGTTTGGGTTAGCTCTTGTGTGGATTATTGCGATTAAACTTTGTGTTAACATTTATTTATCATCAAGTCTTCTTCAACACATCGTGACAGAAGATGTAGGAAAGCTTTCTTGCCTATCCTTCCTTCACATTTTGTCCCTTTTCCCCCACTTCCTTCCCTTCACAAAGTTCACTCAGAATGGTCAATTGCAAAATATAATGTTCTACTACACGAATGCAAGTGATATTCACAGTCGTGTCTGGTATCACTTGAAATGACTCAGTGTGACTGATACAATGGTCTAATTCCCAGAAGAAATTAACTAAAAGGTAATAGAGATTCTAAGACTTATTTTGTTTACTGTAGAGGTTGTGCTCATTCTCATATGTGTCTTCAATGCAAATTATCATCTGCCCCAAAAGGTGTAAACTCCCCATGTCCAGCCCTTTGATCAATGCAAATTCCAATTGTTAGTTTCTGCCTTCATTTGGAGAATGTTTTTTCTTTTGAAAAGTTGAAAAGGTTTAGGATAATTCTGTAGTAAGATGAGACCATAGAATGGATATATATAGTATTACCCATATGTCATCCTGGACCTCAAAACCAGTCATAAGTCGCTGAGGTATATTTGTAGCAACAGCCAAAAAAACATTATATGGGTCAAAATTATAGATTTTTCTTTTATGCCAAAAATCATTAGAATATTAAGTAAAGATCATGTTCCATAAAGATATTTTGCAAATTTCCTACTGTAAATCTATTAAAACTTACATTTTTGATTAGTAATATGCATTGCTAAGGACTTCATTTGGACAGCTTTATAGGCGATTTTCTCAATATTTTGATTTCTTTTTTTTTTTGCACCCTCAGATTCCATATTTTCAAATAGTTGTATCTCGGCCAAATATTGTCCTATCCTAACAAACCATACATCAATGAAAAGCTTATTTATTCAACTTTCAGTTTCCAAATTTTGGAAAAATTGCACTTAAGACTGGTTTTGTGGTCCAGGGTTTGTGTTCTGTATTTGCGCAAATGTATGAGATTTGTGTAATTTTTATACTTATTGAAATATCACACTAGCTGTTAGCTTTGCAACATGCAGTTTTACTAACCTGCTGCAACATGTCTTTCAACTAAAGAAGGATCTTCAAACTCAAATTTCTTCTCATCGTGAGTTAACTGTGCTGCTTGTCCATGTGCCTGTTTGCTGGCTTTAACAGCCAAGAAACCACTCAAGTTAAGAAAAAGAGATCGCAAGCAGTTTTATTAATCTTGTGCAACTGATGTTGAATCCATAAATCAGTTTTCTTCTTACGGTAAGTTAAAACAGCCTTCCAGTTGACTCCTTTTACCTTCTTCAACCTCAGCTCTAATGGACATCTGGTTACAATTCCTATCAAACACAATTGAGTTAGTAATCAAAAGAAAACTAGCAGTGGAAAATTATTGAAGACATGCTTTATATATTAAATAAAAAAATTATTCTCTTAAAATTGGCATTCAACTTGAATTTACACTTAGTGGTTAGTTACACTTAGGTACTCCTACTAATTGATGCAAATATCTAATCACAAATACTGTACATAGTCAAGACGTTAAGTTTCTATTCAGACCAAACAGAATATGGGTAAGAATAAGTGAATCTGATAAGTGAATTAAAACAAAGGGTGTGACGGATTGCCAAACTCAAGGTTTAGATAATATTACTGTTTTTTTGTGGTCACGGATCAGATTATTTTTCAGATCAGCAAAACAAAACAAAAAAATTGAGGAACAAAGTTACAAATAAGGCACTGATAGCAGCAGGTATTTATAGGATACTGTCACTTTAAGACCGAATGCACAGATCCATTATAATTATACACATCCAATTTCGTATTGTTTACATTCACTTCACTTAAGACATAACAACTGTGTTTAGGAGAATATTTGCTGAGATGGGTATTTTGAGAATTTTTTGCATACGTGTCTGTTCAAGCACAAGGAGATGTGAAAGAGAACTGAGTTGTGCCAAACTCTTTATTCTTTTGCCTCTTCTTGAGCTTGAATGGTTTAAAATCACTTGAATGCTTTAAATCTGCAAGACTACACATACAAATGATAATATTTCACTCTATGATGGTTAAACTTTGCAACTAATCCACAAATTACATGCATGCTGAACCGTGGGGCCTGTTCCATTCAAATCATAGATCAACTGTGATTGAACCCCTTCTTAAAACTGTGAGGTTATTGTTGGTGCCAAATGGGTTGGTTTGAGCATTACAACAGGGCTATGCAGGAAATCCTTTCTGAACATATACAACACAATGAAGGGGCAGACAGGGTACAGCAGGAGAAGAACCTTCTGGGTGTCACTCCTGTCAGCTAAACGCAGGTAACTGATGCTAGTGGGCACATGCAAACAAAAGCCAGGCAGTAGATCAAAACATTGCCTATAGTCTGATTAATTCTTGGTTTCCGCTGCAAGATGGTAGGGTTTTCCTCCAGGACAGGTTTGGGAAGAACTGAAGTTTCACTGTGGTGAAATAGGACCTTACAGCAACATGAATGTGTAGCTGACAAGTCTGCAGCAACTGTGCAATGCTGTCATGTCGTGCTGTGACTTAGTATATCAAAATAAAGAGAAAATTTCCTATGATTATGACTTAGTATCTCATAATAATGAGAAACGTTCTCTTAGTAATGAATGACTTAGTTTCTCACAATGAGAAACTTACTCATAATAATGACTTAACATCTCATAACATTGAGAAACTTTATTTTAATGACTTAACATCTGAATGTGAACATTTCTAGTAGTAATGACTTGGAATTCATAATAATGAGAAACTTTATCATAATTATTACTTAATATATCCATGTAAAAAGCAACAGACTAGGTGAGTGTGATACTAGCATGCTATTAACATCCACTGATCAAAGTCGTGTAAATGTGAGAACTCAGAACTCGGTTGTGCCCTGCTCTCCCCTACAAATGGAATGCACCATCAGACCATCTCTGGTAGTGCTCAAGTTGCAAATTAGCATCCCTTCATAAAGCTAGGCTAAAGCCCAATTCGGATGGTTTCTCAGGGGGACAAAAAGGATTTTCAACATTTATAGGTGGTAGTTGGTGATTTTAATGCAGTTCAAATCCAGGATGTCGGTGTTTATCTCTCACCACCCATCTAAAAATCCCCGGCTGAATTACCTACTGTTTTTTGACAAACACCAAGGTAGTGTGGAAATTTAATTGCCGTCCGAATCCACATCTCTGAGTTTACAAGAAGAAATCGATTTAAAATTCATTGTTTTAACCCTTTTTAAAGCACTCCTGAACACCGTAAGGTAACTGTTGTGCTTCTGTGTAATTTGCATGCATATTTATGAAATGCTGGAAAGTATTTAGAAGAGCAATATTTTATAACTGCTCCATCACAGCGACTAGGAGCAGAAAGAGAAGAAAGGCACGTAAACATTCGAAATGGATCTTTATCATGGCAGCAGCTGCAGTACAATTTTAAAATGTGTATTACATACAGTTATATACATGACTATATCGCATAGAATTATATAGAACTAGTGCGTCTATTTTCCTATTTTTAAACAGCAGATTTAAATAATCAAATAATAAATAGGATTATATATTATAAAGTATGCTTGGAATAATAAGAATACATTTTACATAAGAAGTATTTTTTAAATACATTTTACACAATAAGAATACATTTGTAAAAAAGATTATTTTTATTTTTTATTACATTTTATTTACAGTAGCTAGACAATCATGTGACTGGCACAACGTGAGCAGCGCGTTCCCGGGTTCGCAGGATCACAGAACTCGCTTCTCCACTGTGAATAAATCACGATCTGAATCCACGAGTTTTATCACAGAGGTGATATGTAAATTTATTTTCACAGACATCCATATGAGAAAAAATTACCGTCCGAATAGGGCTTAAGTGCAACCAGCCCCTGGTGAATTGTGGGACTGAGAAAAAGAAGGTTTTCACTTGCACTATACCAGCCTTGTCCAAACCTGTTCCTGGAGGGCCACTGTCCTGCAAAATTTAGCTCCAACTCTAAATAAACACACCTGACGCAGCTGATTAAGGTCTTCAGAAACATGCAGGCAGGTATATTGGAGCTGGTTGGACCTAAATTCTGTTGGACATCACATCACTCTAGTTACTTAGTAATTTCTGCTTAGGAGATAATAGCACAGAAAAGCTGCTGGTGTGAATGTACAACTGCATTTGCTGCTACAGTTTTGCTGACATGCAACTCACACTTGCAGTGTAAAACAGGTGTGATAGCAGAGATAACAAAGGAGAGTAAAACCAGTCCTCACCGCTCCCTCTTGGTAATGCAACTCCAGACAGCGCTTCCAAGACAGAGCTTTTTCCAGAACTCTGGTCTCCTATCACTACAATAATCGGTAACGCCAAGTCCTTGTGAATGCCAACTGATCGCAGTGTCAATCAGATCAATATATGGACAAATGTTCTCCTCTAAATGACTGTGAACCTCTCCCTTCATGTTGTGACTATACAGATAAAAAAGTACATTTTATTTGTAAAACGTCACTGTTCGCACTATATTACTTAATTCAGTGTCTATGTACACTTTCTCTTATATATTTTAATCCATTGACAAATCCCCAACAGTAACGCTGACAGCAAATCAGAATCCATCCTGCCTTAAAAAGCTTGAGCATTTAAAGCAGATGACAAAACCACCATAGCAGGTGCTTATAATTTCACCATCACCTCATGTAATGATCTAAATGTATGTCTCTTTAAGGCTGTTTGATTCACTAAACAGCTGTTTGACAGTTCACTAAAACACTGAATCATTTGCAGCTGTTTTCATATCAAGATAATAACGTGATATTTTGTGACACAGAAAACAAAAAGAGCACTGGATGAAATATTTGGATATATAGTCTTCTTTCATTTGTCAGGCATTTATAATCAAGTATCCACATTCAAAATAGAGTATCAAAATATGGGTACACTTTTTTTATGTTTTAAAAATGTATATTTAAAAAAATCACATGTTGGTAATGTATTCATATAATCATAGTGGTCTTCTGAGGGCGCTATGCCCTTTTATCATATATTTCTCAGCACAAAACTTTTCCACAAAATGTTGTGGAATGTGCCACTTTATGATGTAATAGTGTGGCTAAACACTGCCTCCTCAGAAGAAGATCAACACCTGCTTCTACATCACTATCTGTTTAGCCCCGCCCACCGATTCACACATGTATTCTAATTCGCGAGAGGCAAACGCAGGTCTACTCATAAATCAAACAATAAAGATGCCTCCGAAGACAACAAGATGCTGTGCAGTGTCAAGTTGTCGAAAAACACAGTCTTTGCATTGACTTCCTTCTGATCCTAACATTAGGAAAGATTGGATGAACTTTATTTTAAATGAAGATCCAGACCTCGTTAATAAGAACTTGGTCCTTTGTTCACTTCATGTTACCGCTGATTCGTTTACAAACAAGCCACAATTCAATGCAGCATTTTCAGAAATATTGAAACTAAATGACAATGATGTGCAGACTATATTGAATCTGACAGTAATGTTGCACCACACAAGTGTGTTAATACAAAGTTCTGGCATGGCGTAGTCCGATAGATCTAACTCAATATGACAATGACATAATTGACATAAGTTTCGGTACTTGCTCTGCCGCAGCAGCAGCATAGCAGATCTATTCCACCGAGACCAAATACATTGACATTGTCATGTATATTACCATGCAAATCACTCCGAGAGTTGTAATGACAGAACTGTTTTTATTATGTGGTCTCTATTACCTGTTTTTACAGATCGGTTGATATGCACTGAGTATTTATGCGTTTTTATCCTAAATCACAGCAGCGTCCACCTATGAAGGACATATAGGCTGTCAAACATGCACCACTGTTAGACAATCATACCAGTGGGCGCTCCAAGTCTACAATCCTCCACGCCTATTCAAACAAAGCATTCCAATGAGGGGTGTCAAAACAGGACAGAAAACAATAGAAGTAACAATAGATTATTACTTCGAAATTATTATGTATTTCGATGTAAAAATGTTGATACCATTATAAGTGGACCTCGGAGAACAGCACAAAATAAAAACAAAGGCCCCTTTAAGTTTTTTTCTGACACAGTTTAACTCTTGAGTTCTTGTCATATTTTATTACCATTTTCTAAACTATAGCAAATAAACTGATAATGAGAAATGTTGAAGGTGTCTGAATATATTTTGGTTTGACTGTACTTGCCTTGTTTTGTATATAAATGTACATTTCTAATTGTTTTGTTTTATCTAGAGCTCATAGCAAAATAATAATAATAATAATAATAATAATAAGCCAGGCTTCTAATAACATAAATATTTATCTCAAACTCAATTAAATTGCTAATTCAATTTTAGCTTAATAGGCAAAATAAAATGTATACTAACCTTTCATTTTGAGAACTATCACTATCTTCATCATCATGAGCACTACTTGGAGATGAGAAACTGCCTGAGATGCGCATTTTGTCGATTCTGCCTGAACTGGACATCTTCTGGAAAATGAAAGAGGGAAAAAATAAATAAAAAGTTAGTTCTAAAAATATGTCCTTGATAATGTCCTTCCTTTTGAATATCTCTAATAAATTGTGCAATTTAGGTTTCCCCCAAACAGAGTGTTTGTGGTGATGCTGAAGAGAATTACAAACAAGCCACAATTCAATGCAGCATTTTCAGAAATATTGAAACTAAATGACAATGATGTGCAGACTATATTGAATCTGACAGTAATGTTGCACCACACAAGTGTGTTAATACAAAGTTCTGGCATGGCGTAGTCCGATAGATCTAACTCAATATGACAATGACATAATTGACATAAGTTTCGGTACTTGCTCTGCCGCAGCAGCAGCATAGCAGATCTATTCCACCAAGACCAAATACATTGACATTGTCATGTATATTACCATGCAAATCACTCTGAGAGTTGTAATGACAGAACTGTTTTTATTATGTGGTCTCTATTACCTGTTTTTACAGATCGGTTGATATGCACTGAGTATTTATGCGTTTTTATCCTAAATCACAGCAGCGTCCACCTATGAAGGACATATAGGCTGTCAAACATGCACCACTGTTAGACAATCATACCAGTGGGCGCTCCAAGTCTACAATCCTCCACGCCTATTCAAACAAAGCATTCCAATGAGGGGTGTCAAAACAGGACAGAAAACAATAGAAGTAACAATAGATTATTACTTCGAAATTATTATGTATTTCGATGTAAAAATGTTGATACCATTATAAGTGGACCTCGGAGAACAGCACAAAATAAAAACAAAGGCCCCTTTAAGTTTTTTTCTGACACAGTTTAACTCTTGAGTTCTTGTCATATTTTATTACCATTTTCTAAACTATAGCAAATAAACTGATAATGAGAAATGTTGAAGGTGTCTGAATATATTTTGGTTTGACTTGCCTTGTTTTGTATATAAATGTACATTTCTAATTGTTTTGTTTTATCTAGAGCTCATAGCAAAATAATAATAATAATAATAATAATAATAAGCCAGGCTTCTAATAACATAAATATTTATCTCAAACTCAATTAAATTGCTAATTCAATTTTAGCTTAATAGGCAAAATAAAATGTATACTAACCTTTCATTTTGAGAACTATCACTATCTTCATCATCATGAGCACTACTTGGAGATGAGAAACTGCCTGAGATGCGCATTTTGTCGATTCTGCCTGAACTGGACATCTTCTGGAAAATGAAAGAGGGAAAAAATAAATAAAAAGTTAGTTCTAAAAATATGTCCTTGATAATGTCCTTCCTTTTGAATATCTCTAATAAATTGTGCAATTTAGGTTTCCCCCAAACAGAGTGTTTGTGGTGATGCTGAAGAGAAAAAATTACAAGTTTGAATTTATAGTGTTCCACAGCCACACCCATTATAAGAATGTGAATGTACACAGAATGTACACAAAGATCTTAACTATAACTTGTTCTGCCTGTTGCAATGTAGTTTTAAACTTTTTTTCAACACTGTCTTTACTGATTTTAGAAACATTAAGATAAAAGAATTTGGCAGTTTGGTTAACATCAGAGGTCTCAAACTTAATTCCTGGAGGGCCAGAGCTCTGCAAAGTTTAGCTTCAGCTCACACCTGCTTGGAGGTTTCTAGTAATCCAGAAGATCTTAATTAGCTGGATCAGGTGTGTTTGATTAGGGTTGTGTCGATCAGGTGTGTTTGATTCCTTCCAGGAATTGAGTTTGAGCCTTGACAGGTTGACGGGCTGACCACTGGGCATTGACAGGTTGCCCAGTGGTCAGCGCGCTTGCTTTGCTACACAGATAATGCATACGTATGACGTATGAGGAATTATTCAATCCAAACAAAGGCTGCGTGAATTATTCTAGTGGCCTTAGATGGATGCTCAAGTGCAGTTTCCTCCTGCTTGGCCTGCGAAATGAATGATAAATCAGCAAAAACTGCACCTGTCCAACCTCAGCCTGTCAGTCCGCCATCAGACCCATGGCAGAAAGTAGGAATTGATATAGTCTGACTTTATGAGAGTGGACCTTTAGACTGCCGTTTTGTCATCTCCTTAAGGCTGTAATACATTACATGACTTGCCATCGGCATTATACACTAAACATTTAATGGCCATTTAAGCGTTTAAGTTCCTGTCTGTTCAGTCTCAGTTTGTCAGTTATTGTTGAAGTTTATCTTGTGTATTAGATCCTCTTTAGCTTGTGGATTACCATTAAAAAGGATTTGATTATATGATCTTCGTCGTGCCTGCTTTTTCCTAGCAGCAGGGGTGTGACAAACAGGCCTAAAGGGAATCCATACTTTGAAAACCTTTAATAAATGTGAGTTTTTCCAAAGCCTAACAATGAGATAATTCTCGTAACAATTTTTTAAAATGAGGGCTTTCTCTGTTTTCCCAATGAAGACCCTGCTGAAAAAAAACTGCTAAAACCAGCCTAAGCTGGTTGGCTGGTTTTAGCTGGTCAGCAGGCTGGTTTTAGAGGGGTTTTGGCTGCTTCTTTAGCTTAAACCAGCTAAGACCAGCCAACCAACTTAGGTTGGTTTTAGCTTTTTTTTCTTTTCTTTCTTTTTCAGCAGGGGAGCTACTACTGTTTTAAACTTTTTCTTTAGTAATATTCATTTCCAGAACTTTTGGATTTGATGTAATCAGAACTCTCTGTGTTGACTTAAGGCTACATTTACACCAGTTACACGAGTGCGTTTTCGCTTTAAAACGCATAACTTTTGCTACGTTTACACCTGTCGTTTACACTTCTTCTGTGTTTTCGACCCTGGAAATGGCCAATTTTTTAAAACGCTGCAGACTCTGTTTTAGTTTGAAAACTCAGGGGTTGCGTTTCAGTGTAAACGGACCAAAACAGAAACTTTTGAAAGCGATGACGTGGCTGCCCACAATCTCTCTGCGTATCCTTGATGACCGTGTAAACAATAACATCATGCTCATTGTAAGAAAATTCATACAAGCAAGTGCACAGTGAAAGTGATTTTAAAAAGTGAAAACGTCATTCATTCAATAAAATTGTATTTGTATAGCGCTTTTCACAATATATGTTCTTAATTTCTTTAGAGCTCCCAAGAAGGTCAAACAGGCAACCACGATCCACAGAGAGAGCCTAGTAAGATACCTTTACAACATACCATGTGAATGGCATGGAAACAAGATGTTTGCCAAAATGATTTTTAATTGGTTATTTGGAAGTCATTTCATTACAATGGCTGAAACGTATTACGATACTGAAGAAAGTTATATGAGTTAAACTGTCAGATACATTCTATAGATTATCATTATCAGATACATTAGAAAAAGTTTAAATAATGCACTGTATTCATATGCTGAAGAGATTTTTATAGATTAGGTTGTCAAATACATCATGCATTTTCAGGTAATATCTTCTATGATCCCTCAAATAAAATCACTAAGTGCTTCCTGAGCAGCAGTCAAACGGTCCAGGCAGGCCTGTAGGTCTTTGCGTCTTCTACTAACATTAGAGTTTTCAAACAGGAGCACGCTCACATTTGCCCCATCCAGTAAACTCAACATGTCAATAGACAGAAGCTGAGTAGTTCCTTCAGCATGAAAAAGGAGATCCTCATGGGCAGTTGGTCAGACATCCGCTGCACCACAATCTGAAAGAAAATACAAAACCTACTAAATTTACCTGCACACAGCACAAACACTGCAAGTTATTCCTGAGAAAGGGTTATATTGTCATATTGTATACCTCATAATACGCCTCCAGCCTTTTACTGTACTTGCTTTTTATGTCAAAGACAGGTAATTCATCTTCTAAAAATTTCTCATCGCTAATCTCATTCAAGAACTTCAAGTAAATCGGGTCTTGAGTGTAGATCATGTTTTTCTTTTCAAACTGCTCTGAGATCCTCACCTCTGCCTTGGCTTGTTGGCTTGACTGAATGTTATCAATTTTATACTTTTAGAGTCAAGTGAAGAAGTACAGAGAAAAGTGAATTTAATTAAACGTGATTAACAATGCAAGTTTGTTGTACATTTCTATTCCAACCTTAAAAAGGAATATTTACCAAAGTGATATTTTGAAGAACAGGGTCGTTCTGAAAACATTGATAAACCACAGCAGTGAACTGCTCTAAAATTATTTCTTGAGAAAAAAATACATAATTCAAAAGACAAACAGCAACAAATTTGTAACAATTCAGATGTGCTAAAACTACAAAAACATTCATTTGTGCTCTATTCATTTTGGTTTTATACTCAGTACTCTCACATGAACATGAAGATGTGTGACAATGCCTTTGATAGTGTTGAGTAATTTAATGGCTGGTGCTTTAAGTGGCCACATGGCCCTGCAGATCCCCCTCAAACATTATGTATTTGCTGAAGCCGAGCAGTTCCCTCCCCTGTATTCCTGCCTAAATTGTATTATTTTTGCAATCTTATCATTACCTTGTTTGGGAACAAAAAAGATTTGAAATTAATTGACTTTTTCATTTTAACTTAGAATTGCAATTGGTGAAGAATATCAACACTGTGTTTTTTAGTTATTAGCGCCCCCTAGCATCTGAAATTGATTAAATGTGGCACTGAAGGCAAGAGAGCTTGTGTGTTGGCAATATAAATATACAGTAGGTGGACAACCAGAATGTGCTTTTTACCGCACCTGTTTGTTTTCTGTTTTACAAAAACAACGTTTTGTTTATATTGCGAATGCACACAAAAATAAGGCTAGACCATTTACATTTCCGAATGAAGTATTAGTCTTATCTGTATGGGCAAAAATTATGGCGTACTTTGGCGTAAGCCGTTTCCACTGTTATGAAGAACAAAATGAATACACCTTAAGCGCACTTTTAACTAGGTTAAATGTTTAAACTAACATTGTAATAGCCTATGCTTTATTATGGCAGTATGTGTGGTTCTTCTCATCCTCACACAACATGCTACTGGCTGACTGCCTTAAATAGTAAAAGTAAACAAATTTATTTGGCTCCAGTAAAGTGGACTAGCACCATCTAGTGTAAAGTATCATTATTTTCTGTAGCAACTAATATTAAAACAATATAAAATATTATAACATAGAATATAAGGAAAATTATGACTCTTGTGTCAGTTGCTAAGCACACTTGATTTTTCATTTTTGTC